TAATCACACAATTCAAAGTGCTTGAGCCCAGGCGTTCCCGCCTCGCTCAGCCTAACGTTTCTCAACTCCGAACAACTCTTAAGGACAAGGCGCCTGAGCAAAGGGCAGCCCAACATTTTCGTATCGAAAGTGCCGCCATCAACTTGGACCCGTTCGAGGGTGAGTGTGCGCAAACTTTGAAACCGCACGCTGACCGGGCTTAGCTTGCAATTGCGCAGGTGTAGTTCTTCGAGGGACTCGGCTAAGAAGACTGCCGAGGGCAGGCCGTAATATGGCAGAGTAAATGAACGAAAGTTGAGTTTGAACACTTTTATTTTGTGGGCGGGTATCATCGTGATCCATTTGTTAAGAAGGGAGATGACTGATGGTGAGACGGGGCTGGATAAGTGGAGATGGAGCTTCCGTATAGAGAGGTTTTGATCAAGGTATCCTTGTAGGGTTCGGTTGACTACCGAGACAAAGTCTTGTTGTGTAGTGTTGAACAATTTTTCGGAAGAGTCGAGGTTGGGGCGAATTGATCCTATGGAGGAGCTGTTGAACAATTTTTGGGAAGAGTCGAGGTTGGGGGGAGTTAATCCTTTGTTACGCCGCCATGGTCTGCATAGGAAGAGAGAGAGAATGCGGTGCAGTTTGGAGCATTTTTTATCACGGCAACGTTGTCGAGTTCGGTCGACGACGACGGGCATTTTTTCGGAAGAGTTGATGTTGGGGCGAGTTGATTTGACAGAGACAACCTTTTCTTGTGTGTCGTCGAACCATTCTTCGGAGAAGTCGAGGCTGGGCCGGGTTGTTCCGACGTGGCGCCATTGTTTGGAGAGTAGACAAGTTCTCACAGCCTCTTTCTGAGAGAGGTAACAGAGAATGTGGTGACGTATGGGTATTGGTAATTGGGATATTCTGTCGTCCTCCATTGCTATGGAGGTATCTTATCCTCCTCTCTTCTGATATGACTGAATCTGTTAATATGAAAACAACTTTCAATAGTTTATTGAAAAGTAGTTAAAAAGTATGAATGAATGGCGCAAAAAATATCTGATAGTTTGTTACTCAAATATGTTACACCAATAATTCTACCGTCAAATATTTTTACACATTAATATTTGATAGTTTGTTACGGTTTTGTTGCGCGCTCTCTGAAATTTTTCCTCTCAAATCTTTTCATTGCAATTTATTTATAGTTAACATATTTTTAGCCACATATGTACTAATATTATATATTTATCGTTAATAAAAAAATAATTATTTATAATTTATTTATATTTAAAATCGGTTTTAGGTTTTATGAGGTGGTGGCTGCAGAATGAGTAGAAGAGAGAGTTTGGATTAGTGAGAGTATCTCCCTTACCTTGACCTAGGTCGTCCTTTTATAGGAGTGGGACGATCTAGGTCTCCTTTCTACAGACGGGGGACTTCCCAACCCACTAGCTTGGTGGGCTGATCTCAGACCTTGGGCCCAAAGTAAAGCTCCTCTGTGCCTTGAGCCTACAGTAATTCTCTTAAGGACCTTGGGCCCAGAGTAAGACTCCTCGGGACCTTAGACCTAAATTGAGGTTCGGCTTCAGCCTCGACCTTAGACATTGATGGTCCTTGAAGTACCCGTGTCTTTATTCTCCAGAGCTACGTGTCGCCTAATAAATATATATTTTCTCCCTCATCATTTATTATTAACAATTTTTTAGACTCATGTACCAAATATTATATTTATCGTTAAATAGAGAATTTGATTGCAATTTATTTACTAACATCTTAACATATATTATATATATTATATTTATCCTTAGTAGTCTAAGAATATCAGATGACCACATTAAAACTCACCTTCATGAAGTGCTGTACGTATTTGACAAGTTGAGAGTGCATAATATTGCAATTTTTTTATTTTTTATTTATTTTTTATCCACATCCAATTACTCAATAAATTCTTATATTGCATTTTTCTTTTTCTTTTTTTTTGGCAATTTTTTATCCACATCTAAGTACTCAATAAATACTGTATTTCTTTTTTATAGTAAAACATATCATATTTAAATATAATATTTATAAAATACCAAATTACTTTATATAAAAAATTCACAGATCTTTTATAAACAGTTAAATAAAAATAATAAGGGCCGATTTTTTTTTCCACGTAAGTAGGGCCGAAAATTTATGTTTAAGGGGCTAAGATACTTTGGTCCAAATTTGGGACGAAAAAAATTCTAGAAAAGCCCACAAAGGAATGAAATCGAACAACAACAAATGAATGATTTTTTGAGTGATGAAATTAAATAAAAATAAAAAATAATTTAAGTGGACGAGGACATCTACGAAAAATATTTAACTTATTAGATTAAATAGACGAGATCATCTAAATAATCCTAGTAAGCTTTTTCGAGAAATTTGTCGAGCAAATAAAATAAAATAATGCAATGCAAATAAAGAAATAAAAATACGACTCTTATTTATCGAAAGGGGCACTACATAATTGCATATTAATGATTATCAAATTGCACAATAGCGACTGAAACAGACCGAACTAAAAGTTTTTGGTTTGAAATTTCATATTGCAGTTCGATTATATATTTTACTTTTAAAATCTCGGTATAATTTGCAAAAGAAAAAAAAAAAAGAAAAAAATCTCGGTATAAGGTGAATTTATCACGCAATATTTTCACTTTCTTTATCATTATTGTTCATTAGTATATTTAGTGTTTCAGTACAAAACTATTATTAAAATAGAAATTTATGAAAAAAAAAATGTATAAATTCATTAGCTTCAATTTTAAACTAGCTAGTGTCGTTTTAAGAATTTTATTTACAAATTAAATTTCGTTATAAAACTATTACTAATTTTTCTACTTTAGCATTAAGTATGAAACAAAATCATGGTAATAAATTATTAATAAAAAAGGAGATACAAAGATTAATTAGGAGTGTCATTAAACAATTAGTTAATTTTAGTTAAACAATTTAGAACGATACTGAATTTAAAATGACATAAAAACTATATTTTAAACTATTATATATCACGAAAATAAAATTAAAAGGTTAATAATAAAATTAATTTTTGATATTATTTTTAAATCAACCGATATTCAATCACCGACGTAATTTAATCATTCTATTATTGTTGCTACATGCATCGCACAAGCTACATACTAGTTTGGTTTATTTGGTTGTGGCTTTATGAACAAAGATTTTACTAAGTTAAGACCAACTATTTGATATGATATCGTCGTGTTGGCTGGTTTAGTTTCGAAAACATGGGATCGGGTATTCTACTTCGCCGTCGGTTTAATTCATCTTGCGCCAAACATATTCAACAGCCTCTTATGACATCTAGCATTTAGCCTGCTCTTTAGCTCCTGTCTTCTGTTTGTTTTCACTATCACTTAAGATATATCCAATTAAACATGCAAAACAAAATCATCTAAAAACAATTACTTATACGGTAGCCTTTGCTTTTTTACTTGCAACATTTGACTCAAGTTTTGCCCTTCCTCTTTTTCTTCCCCTTACTTTCACCTCCATCAAAATATCCACAAATCTTATTTTTCTTAGCCTCACTCTTCTTGATGTCGTGGTCCTCGTTCCTCGTCAAGTGCTCTGCAATCTCAGCTGGAGTTATCTCAACTTCTCGAATCAACTCTTTGATTTCAAAAAACGTTGGATGATTGTCGTTTATTCTCAAGTAAGTAGAGGCCAAGACATCATAGCCTGGTGGCGTGCAGTAACCCATGTGAATGTGCATGTCCATTCAACCGCGGGCCTTATAACCGCTGGATCGAGCTTTTCTTTATGGTTGGTGGTGAAAATATATATCCTCTCGTCTCCACAGCTGGACCATAGCCCGTCTATAAAGTTCAGCATGCCCGATAAGTATAGAGAAAAATATTTAGAATTTTAAACTGCTTACTTATTTATAAAAAAAAAAAAAAAAAAAA